TCTGCCCGAGGCACCCGCGCCGGGCCCAGGCAGCAGAGCGGAGCTACGGGCGGGCACGGCGGAGCCCTGCCGCCGCTGGCAGGACGCGCCGTCACCCAGCCCAGCGCCTGGGTGTGTTTTCCGTTTACATCAGTGTGTTGTTTGGAACTTGGGATCATTGCCCATCTGAACCTTTCTAACGGGAAGACCTCTGAGACAGCCTTTAACACCACAGTGCAGTGCTCCACGTACGCCTCTCAATCTGCTTTTCCCTACCCTTTCTCACAGAATAGCTGCAGCCACTTTATTGACAGCTCGGGAGAGATCTGTTCACATCATCACTCTCCGCTGAAATTAGCAGGATTAGCAGAAGGCAGAGTAGCTCCCTTTCCAGGCCAGAACACCTCTCATCACGCTGCCAAGTCACCCAGTACTGTTCCCGAAACTGTAACATACCATAAGAGAAATACACTCCAGGCTGGCATTCCACAGTTATCAGCTTTCAGCATCACTGCTGTCCTGCAGCTGAGATGAGAAAGGCAAGGCCAAACAGCCCTGGCAGGATTCTTTGGAGTCGTATTTCTTTTGCACTGTAAAGCACTAAATGTTCCTTATCTGCTGTCTTATCTGGACATTAAACCCCCTGCAAGCCCCTCTAAAATTAAACAGTGCACTCCCACCCGTATCAAGACTGCAGAACAAAGTCTACCTTAAGTTCTATGGTTTGTTGCTATTTGCAGGTGAGAAATATACTAGATTCCCACTACATTTCTAATTCAGATAAATTTCTTCCTGAACAGGTACAGTTCATGTACTGTATCTCATACAGAATGTAAGATATGGAAGGCAAACAGTATGCTTCAGGAAGGCGCTGGACTTTGGAAGGAGGCCCTGAAAGAACCTATTTATTACAGCAAATATGAAACTGCATTCAGATACTGCATGGAAAGGCCTGCTTCTAGCCATTGTTAATAATTAACATACATATGCATACACTAGCCTTCAAGTACCTATTTCAGTCTAAAAGCCCCAACAGCAAAGATCAGAGGGGAAAAAAAAAAATAATTCAGGGCTAATTTATAAACTTGGTGTTTTTGGTCACCTACAGACTAGTTCTATGATCAGTGGGTAATGCAATATTGCTTTCAGGCACAATCAAGGCACAAGAAATGGAAATTTAGTTTTACTTCCAGGTATGTGTCAGATTACTTTGTTTACACTGTGGTGGGTACCTTTTTCCTTAATAAATGTTTTAAAACTTTATCTGTTAGTTCGCCAAATCTTTTGTAACAGTGGCGTTAGGATGTTTGGTTAATGCTCCTAAAATGCTATTAAGAGGAGTAAGACTTAGACACATTATATATATAACTTATTTCTTTTAGTACAACAGTAGAGAACATTAATGTCTAGCAGAAGAGCCTACATGCAGAAAATAACGATGCTTGCATAATTATTCACTGTGTTACTGATCACTTTGCATAATTACCACAACACAAACAATTTTTAAATCAATTCAGCAAACTGGAGAGGGCAGCAACATTATATGCCTGATTTTAAACACCCACTGTTTTCTTATCTAAACTTGTCTGTCTTTCCTTAACCTGAATTCCAAAAAAAAAAGTTTGTAGTTAGGAACTGTTTAGAATACTTTATTTGTTCTTGGCTCTGTTTATCCTATTCCCAGCAAAGTAATCTCCACTGGTCACCTCCCTCTGCAAAAGACATGAATACTGTCTTTGTTCTACAACTGCCAGCAGTACAATTTACATAAAAGACAATTAGGAAGAGAGATGGATGTAACTTCACACAATTTTTTCTTACCTTTAGAGAGGAATTAAAAAAAATCTCAATAGCAAAATGGACTGGAACATGTTTGATTGGTTACAATTATAAACAGTGGTGTGGAATAAATTTAAAACACCATTCCCTAAAGGGCCACGTGAGGCAGTTTGCCCCACATCTCTCCTTGCCCTGCCAACATGAGCTGTTGGGCAAAGCTACTTTCTTCCTGATAAACTCTGCTTCTGTCCCTCCCATAATTCCTTTACTATTTTGAATGTTCTTCCAGGTTTTCTGGCAAGCCTCTGCCTTCCTTCCCAGGACTTCCACATATTACAGACCTAGTTAGCACAATCGCAGAGTTCAACCACTAACCAGAAACTAAAAATAATCAAACGCAAACCTTCCTCTAAACCCCCTTTCTTTTATTCTAGTACCTCCACTTCAGGACAGGCCTTTATCCCATTTATTGAAGTTACCAAAAGACACTGGGAATTTTAAGGAAATAAGATGAAATTATTTTATCACATAGAGCAATCCTGTAAAGAACACCTTATGTTTTCTTACAAATTATCCACAAGTGGAAAAGAAAATGAACAAACAAACACTAGACAAGAATTTAAGTCAGATTAGCAGTTGGTGAAAATTCTGGTATACCTAAAAAAAGCCCCACACACCCTAGTTTATGTGCTGAGTTTGGGCAGCCAGTAAAGCTACAAAACAGCAGCTCATCCTTCCAAAATATTCTGCATGCTCTCCTTCACCAACAATACAGCAACTGCATTGTGGGAAAAAGTAATGCCCATAACACAGTGCTTCTTATTAATACTGTCTGTGCATAGTCTATATTTAATGATTGTCCTTCAGCTGTTTCTTTTGGGAGAGGTGAAGCAAGAAACTATTGACATGATGTCAGGTGGGGAACTATACAATAATCTTTTTGTTCCATAAATTACGGAAGTAAAAAACAGTACAGAAGTGTTACTTGTCTTGGGGCAATAAGCAGTCAGACATTAGCACCAGAGCTCATTCTGTGCCTCCATTATACAAGTGTGATGGTTCATGGGAGTCCTTGCCCCCTACTTACAATTTGATGCAAGTATTAAAGCAAAACATGAGTCATGTCCTATGATTCATTTTGTGCTTTGAGATAAAACTCATTCTAACTTGTTGATGTTATTTATCTTCAGCTAAGATTAAATCCGTTTGTTACTCAGATACCTAAACCCAGGAAATTGTTTGCATAAATAGCAATAGCATTACAGATGAAGGGCAAGCCATGTAAACTGTGAAAGCTGAACTGCTCTTATAAAATTCACGTCTAATGGCCACACTTGGACAGAATCTTTCCAGTATGCATTTTAAGAAACAGAAATAATTCAAAAGTAAGCAGCTGTCCGTGGCCTTCACCCTTATTATCAAACCCTCTAATCACACCTTTACATAATGAATTAAGAATTTCACATGCAATTTTATTTTGGTATAACATTTCTATCAGACACAAGGGAATGGAAAATGAACTTCCAAATATGAATCAGATGCATGTTAGTGGTAAAACCGCATGCAAATACTTAATAAAATAATTTTTTGAAAAGTCAATTGGAAAAAATAATTACATATGGTCAGGCAAAGGAATAACCAGGTATCCTCAATCCCATTATCAAGTCATTAACTTCTACACAAAATTGTTTAAATTACAATCCTAAATTGTACAAGATTGAGCTAAATATTATACAACTACATAAAAATACATATTTCCATATGCTATAAATTATCCTCAGTGTTCTAAATTCAGAACAGCAAAAATATATTCTATTTTTACTTCCCTGTACTTTTTTGAAAAAACATGCTTTATTCTTATACTCATGAAGTCTGGGAGTCATTGTATTTACCTCATCCAGTAGCGCTGAAATTTATATTGACTGTAAGACATGCACAAAGCATGAACCATTAACCTACTTCCACTGAAACATTTCTGTTTAGTAGTGAGAAATAGCAGGTAACAATGCTTATATTCTAAATGCAAACACTGGGCAAGAACACTTTACTGTTTTCCAGTGACAAAAAATCAATCCTTACCTATCAAGCTAGCTAGAGAATCATGCCAAATTAACCACATCATCAGAGAAACCAGTAAGAAAAATATTGTGCACTGAACATCTTTTCATACAATCTGCAAGAGTATGGTATAATTTTACCCTTATGCATTAGTCAACAATTTGGTCCATTTTATAGGCAGTTAAAACCTGGAAGTTGTAATATTACAATAGTGCAACTGCTGAAGTATTGTAGTTCATGATTTCTTTTAAATGTTAAATGTTTTTGTTGTAAGATCTGGAGTATAGTTTATTTCCTTCACATATTTAATAGCCTAATGAAGACAGCTTCATCAGCCTAAGAACAATATTTGATTCTAAGAAATTTCTCCATCAGCACAGTACCAGAGGAACACTTGCTGCATCATGGTGATAAGAAGATAATCTAAAACCATTGAAGAAATGCAGTAGTATAAAATTAGTGCAAATTTTAATTAACTTAATTTTGCTAAGCTCAAAAAAAAAAAGTACTTTTGCTCTTTGAAGAACAAAAGGGCAGAGAAAAAGAAATGCACAGTAACAGAATTAAATGTTTGCAGAGGTAATGCTGTACAGCCTAAACTTCATATATTAAGCTTTTCTAGTTCCATATCATGCTCAGAGCTACAAAAATGTCTAAGTAATTTAAAGTTTAGCTCCAAAAAAAAAAAAAAATCCTGAGGTGAAACACACTACAATTTAGACTTTGGAGAATAGCAAGTTCTGCAATACTAAGAAAAAAATTGTCATAACACACACTATGACATATTAAATATGACTATGATGTATCACAACAGCCACAAATTTTGAGGCAACACATTCACAGTACCACAATTTACATCGATGTAACTCACAGGCACTTCTTGTTTTGGGTGAATGTTTCACCAAGAAAAATTCACTGTTTGTGTGCTGGTCAGAAGTCACCAGGTGGTCAGTCCTTACATGCAAGTAAGTTCTATAGAAACTAACAATTCATGACTTCTGCAGGAAGAAAGGAAGACATGAAGTGACAGGATGGGCGACCTCAACCATGTGTACTGCACAGATTCAAATGGCACACAGAAATCCAAAGACTGAGTGCTAGAGAAAAAATATATTATTTTCGTTTTTGTTGCACAATATATTGATGCCAAGAAAAACAACAGAATTAAGCTCAGGTACTTCAGCCTAAGAAAGAGTTTGGCTTGAGGTTAAAGTCTTCAAACTTCCATGAGGTAGAATACAATCAAGTATCTTCTTTCCCAGAATATGTTAAGCAGGACAAATCCAATTTAGTTTTTAAAGCTGTTGAAACCTCTTTTGATAGTAGTTCATGAAGAGATACTCCGTCATGAGAATACACCCAATTCCGTCCAGTCCAGTCATAGCGCTTGGGCCCACTAGAAAAAAAATACAACAGAACATTAAACACTGCATAAATACACATTATTTCAGGAGACCTGCTGGAAGCCTGCATGCATAATGTATGCCACAGAGTGTCCAAGAAAAGGAACAGACAGCATGGGGAACGGCTGGTGGGCAGTCTGAGGAAGTGGAGCAGAAAAGGCCTGATATGTCAGGAACTACTGAGCCATCAAACAGATATATCTGAAAGGTGACAAGATACATCAGTCACTCCTAGGGAAGACAAGCACTTTCCATTCCTGCTTTTGGCACTGATTTCCCCACAATTCCTTCCTTTATCCCGATCTTCCCTCAGAGATATAATTTTCTTGCACACAAATATCACAACAGCTATTTGTATAATGCTGAATTAATGCCACTGATTAGTTCTTGCAAATATTCAAAGAACAGCAAAGCACAAATAATTTTATTTTAGATGCAACCAAATTATTTAGCCCCTGAAAGCAAATATATTGGCATGTGGGAGATTTATAACTAAAATGCTGTTTTTCTCGGAGCTATTGTGTTGTAACTGGCTTGTTTTTTTCCAGGTCTATATTAAGTATCAAGAAAGAAACCTGAACACCTGGATTCTACTCCAGACCTTGCTATCCACCCAGTTTTCCACGTGTCAAGTGGGAGAAGACTGAAAGGTAACCACTGCTCTTAACATTAGATAAGCAAAGAAAACAGAAAGGAATGAAGTTATCATCTGGGATAAATGGAGAAACCCTTCATTTTGTAGGACATATACCTTGGAACTCAGTCAACATGCAAAGTCTGCTAGTAAACAAACTATCCTGTACATACAAAAGAAAAATCTGCAGGTTCTCTCTCTACAAGCATAAGCACTGATCTGAACCTTAACTAGCCTGAATTAGTCACAATAGTCAAATGAAGAACTTTCCAACCAATGCTCAATGTATGAGAAGTTACAAAGATCAGCACAAATCCAAGTCACTTTCACTGAAATCTCACTATATGTATCAGAAGTAGTAACTGTTTCAATCAGGGTTATGTGTGCCAGTTACTTTACTAAGTATTTCTCACTTCACTTCTGCAGCACAAGCTTATGTTTATACTCTCCTGCACCTAGAGAATGATGGAATGAGATACTGTCATTCATGAAAATCAGGTAATTTAATTAATTTAAAATCAGACTATTTAATCAATGACAAAGAAATATGTATATTATCTGAACTGGTTTTAAATGTTATGCAGTAAATATCAGTGGTAAAGTTAGCACATGAAACACCTTTATAGTTCTATGAACCTCCAAAAGACTGTACAAATATGACTTTCAAATTAATGGTTAAAGCAAAGAGCTGGTGAATCCTATAAAATACCTACCAAGTTAACTATAGATTAAATCTATTTCTGATGGAAAGTCTGCATATATGTTTCAACCATAAGAGAAAATAATTAAAATATCACATTAAGGTATTGTCTATATTCTGTAAGGTTGAAAAGTCTTTTTGGTCAGGAGCTACATTCAATTACTGCAATTACACTGCTAGCAGGTTGCACACATCCCCTCATGCCCCTTTCTTGTAACTGTCAACTAAGTAAAGTTTTCACTCAGGTGTACAAATACTCAATAGCAAACAGATGGCCAAAAAAAAAATTCCAAGAAAAATGTGTCACAAATCTTGACAAATTTGCCTCCCTTGGGATATAAGACTAAAGGTCAACATTTATGGTAAAAATGCTCCAAAACATTTGATGAAAGCAATTACTGGTAGCAACATTTGCTTCTTTCACTTCCCAACATATTGCAGTTAAGAAGATGACACTTTAGATCATACAGTATTTCCTGAAGTCGTCTTTCAGAAGTCAGGAAATAAGTGAACACATAGTATCACGTTCCAGCAAATACCACCGTTTATCTAATACCAGTTAAGGGAGTATAAAAGGAAAAAATTATCTTTTTCCTCAAACTCCATATTCTGGAGCATGTATGTCTTAGCTCACCTGGAGCTAAATAGACAGGAATTATCTGAATTTTGGTTTTTATAAAAAGATTAAGCCCGCCAATGACACAAAAATCTTATAAGCTGGTTCCTTCACTACTAACACTTAGCAGCTCCCTCGGTTCTTTCCCAGGGATAGTGGCAAATAATACAGATTTTGAGGAGAATAGCTACAGCATTTTCCCACTTATCTGGCTACCCTGCTTGCTGAAACCAACCAGAAAACCTGGAATGGATCAAAACACATCATTAGAAAAGGCAGAGGAAGCAGCTAGCTAAGGCTCTTGTGAAGTGCAGAGGCTTGACAAAAACAACCAGTGTGGGCATACATAAACATATAAAGCAGGAAATCCCACAAGCTTAAAAGGGAAGGAGCCACCCTGTTTAAAACACAAAGAGAGGTTTAGATGATGACATCATCATCGCTCTTTTTCCAGCAGAAGCTTTGTTTGTTTTTTTTTAAATCATTGCTGGTTATATTTCCTATGAGTAAGCTATATTGCTGTAGGCAGTGGTTTTGGGCTGAAACAGCATATGAAAATTTTTTGTTACACATTTCCTGTATTAATTTAAGTATGCCAGTAATACTGCAGTGTGCCCCAAAACCCTATCCCCAAAGCATTATCAAACATTTAGATTGTATCACATTTTGAGAATATGCAGAGTAGAAGGGTTACTTATGAAAAGGATATTACAGGATCATGCCATGCTATAAATACGAGGAAGAACTTTTCCACCCAGTCCGCAGATATTGCGTAACTAACTTACCTAGTGGGTGAGGACAGCCAAATCTGCCGGTTTGGCGTTTGCTTATTGATTACGTATGTTCCCATGTCTCCACCCAATTTAATTGTAAGTACTCCACTCTTAAAAGACAAAGAAAGTGAGAAATAAAAAAATTGTATCCTGTTACTTTTGACAACAATTACTTCATCTGCAGTGGCAGAAACTTACATACCTGTATCAATTCTCAATCTATCTCCCAAACCATAATAGCTAAGGAGAATAATCATTACACCTAGTATATATTTGAGTCTGATCTAGACTTTAAACTTTCTGGCCAGAGTTTGATTTTAGTGTGTTTGTACCATTCAAAATGTTACTACTGAAATAATACTTTTGAGCTTGGACCTGGCATCCTGAAAGGACCAGACCATTGCAACTCATTTTGCAGTGATTAAAACATAATACAATAACATTTTTTGTATTAATGAACGATGCAGAACTGGTGTGGTTCAAAGTCAAGAAGCTTGATGTGTCATTGCCAGACTGCTGAGCCATGCAATTTTACCTACTTTTCTTCAATAATGGTAATAGTTTAACAGGGAACAAACACATTTTTTTCTTTATAATTCTGATACATACCTGAAAAAATGTTCCAGTTCTAAATCCCATGATTCTGGTTTTCCACGAGTCTGGTTCTGCCATCTTTAGACCATCACCCTGGTGAACATTTATTTTCTCTTTCTTGCTCACATTTCTTACTGACAACATAATTAATGTTTCTTGTAACTGACAAAAATATTTTCTGTTCTGACTTTAAGAGTGAAAAAACAACAATATTGGGACTGGAGTTGATCTAAAGGTGATCTGAATGATACCAATTAAAAAGGGAAGTATTTCTACAGAACACAATGTGATGATTCAGATAATAATTTATTTAGTTCACAGTATCTCCAATACTTCAAGCCCTACAGGACAAAAAAGCTTCTTCAAGGGTATCATACTTTTCATGCTTTAGTCAGAAGATACTACTAGAGCTATCTACCATTGCCTGGGCTATTTGCTATGTATAAACACTCACTATGGGGAAATATACTTTCAGGTATGAGCATCTACTGCCTGCCAACATACTCTGTAGCACAAGCAGCAACTGAAAGCTTCCTTCCCCTTCAAAGTAACTCAGTAGGGGAAGATATCTCAAGTATCACTAGGCATAAAATAATACTCTCAGGATCTGACTTTTTACCTTAGTTTCCATGCCACTTCTGTGCTTAAGGCATTTATATCTGTGATCAAAATAAAAATAAAAGGGTCTTCTGTTTTAAAGTCCCATCAGGCTTGTCCTACCAGTTATTTCTACTGGACATTAGTACAATGCACAGAAGAGCAAGAACAAGCTACTTCTCTGGTTGTTAGAATTTCAACTTTTCCATATCTCATGGTCTTAGAATTGTAGAAATATAGCAGAATAAGAACAGGATGGAGGATTAGGCTTGCATAATGATATACAGGTTCTGTATATAGCATTCTTCTATATCGTTTATAATGCCATACTAAGTATTCAGCATGATGTTATGCTACATGTTTCTACAGAAACACTACAAGTAAATAGGTTTTCAAAGAGGTAACAAAAAATTGTACTATTATTCATACTGTGTATCAGCTGTTAGAAAGTACTGTTGCTCTATCCTTGCAAAGTAAATAGAGGTTAACCTCTACTGCTGAATTGAAAACACTTTCTCATACATTTTACAGTACCTCTGAAATATTAGTAAATACAACTTGAATTTTTTAAGAATTTAAATTGCAAGATACTTTTACCATATTTTAAGAAATACTGCTGTATGTGTTTTGTACTACTGGTTGAATGTTTGCTATTTCCTGGTAACAAAAATGTTCTTCTAAAGAGATTTTTTTTTTCCCTGAACACAAAGACATAAATTGCTCAAAGCAATCACATTTACAACAGGCACAGCAGACCTTTATCACATTCGCCACCTTGTGGTCTCCTGCAGCACTGACCCTGTCTGTTTAGAATAAAAACGGGCTATTTAACCTTCTGCTTTCAACAGAAATGACAGCATATTATTAATTGTCATCATCCTGTCTATATAGTAAAGGACCACTGGTAAAAATTAAGATGCAAAGTACTACCTCTTGAGCTTCAAAAGTCAATGTCAACCTTAATCCACCATACAGCAGATGGAGAAAAAAATTATGTCATGACTCATCAGCTTAACATAATGAAGTGTTTAGGAATACTAAAAGGTACATTTCAACCATTGCTTATTTTTGTCCTAGGATAGTTTCATCAGGCTAATAGGTACTGATATCCTAAAACATAATTGTATATTGCACAGTGAAACCCAAACCACCCGATTCAACATCCTGGAGCACAAAACCTTAACTGACAGTGCCAGCAGAAAGCAATCTCGTGGTAACACATGAAGAGGGAGCAATAGTTATGTGACCTCAACAAACTGCAGTATTGAAAAACCTGTGTAGCAGACAGTAATGTAGGGAGAAATAGCACTCTTCTCCAAGTCATATTGAGGGCTGTAACACATAGATTACTTCAGGAACTGAATTTATATGAAAACTAATAAATTCCCTATACAAATAACAGAGATATTTTTGTTGTGAGTCAGTCACTCCTGTATTTGAGTAACTGACTACTGAAGGCTCCAGCCATACAATGTCTCCTGTGATAGTAGCCTCCTCCCATGTACACTCTGGTGTCACTTCTGCAACAACCTATCCAACCACTGCACCTTCCTATTGCTTCTCTCCACCACAGGCTACCATCATCAAAACCAGGACAAAAATACACTATCTAGTCAAGACAAATGCTTGTCTGTATTCAGAGCAACCAAAGAAACTGCTCTGTCACATGCATACTATGCCATGCAGGCCTACTGTTCTAGTATTCACAAGAAGGGAACTGATTGCTACGCCAGGTATCTGTGCCTGTTTAAGAAAATGTATAGACCAGTGTGAAATTGAAAAACAGCTTCAATCTCCTCCTATGCTGATTTATTAATCTGTATTATGTCTTTCTCTAAACATTTTGAATCCCTAAATCACACAACAGTATGTGTTACTTTTCACCAGAATTGTTGCCCCAGTCAGTATACAATATAGTAAACAACAAAGGTGTAAAAATTAATTGTATTTTCAGTATCAGCACTAAGGTGACTAATTTAAAATTCTCCTTCAAATAATACAAAAAAAAAAAACCCCTACAATAATTACAGTGGTAATATAACATTTAAAACATACCCCTAGAGAGACATCATAATCATCTGGGGTAAAAGGTTTATCTGTCAGGTCCTCAAAGAAATCCGCTAAGGAGTCCAGTGTTTCTTCAGCCAGTTTCTCATAGGTTGTCTCATCTAAAGAGCTGCAAATGACAAAGAAGTCCTTAATTAGGAGGAAAAACATGGAAGACAGCATTTTCCCTATAATAAAAACATACAAAGACCACAACTTTGGATGAAACTGTAACCATGAAATGATCTTATAAAACAAGTAGTCATTTTTCTTAAGGTGATGTAACTGACAATCCACCTTATAAATGGAGGTGAAATTTTGAAATTAGTTGGTATTAGAGATCTTTTAACTGAGGAAAAGGTACTTACTTCCTTAGATATACTAACCCCATTTAGTAAATAGCATCACATTTCAAAGTAAGGCATTTTCATAATAAGACTTTGTCTAAGTTTTGCTTAGTTTTGAATTCCACAAATCGAGGCAAAAGCATCTACCATTTAAAAATATATGTAATTTGACTCTACAAAACTTGCTGTAGCTCTACACGGTTTAGAAATGTCAGTATCACATGTCAGGTTTATGCACAGCATTTGCCTCCTCAACTGGATTTACCCACACAACCTGGTAATTAGATGTTATTTAAACTGTGCTTATGAACTAACACTTATAGTCTGTAATTACAGACTATTCCAGAGAGTCTCAAAGCACCCTTGCGGCCATTGCGTAAGGCTTAAAGCACCTCTGAGACCAATTCTCTTTTCTTCTTTAGTGGAACCAAGTGTTGAACAGTTTAATTAACCAAATGTAATTAAACCACGTAAGCTGTTCCATCACCATCAGTGTCAGCTTTCAACTGAGTGTCAAAAGGGGCGTCCCTACCAACAAACACTTCAGGAAAATAATCTCAATTTTTGCTAATGCTTATAGCAAGGAAACAGTTACTATGGGCTGAATATATAATATGTATCAGTTGGTAACAGAAACTTTTTTCAGAAGTTTCTTATCCAGTTACTGAGCTCTATGTCACTCATGAGAGAGACACCACAAAATGTCTTGGGGCATGGAGAACAGAAAGCCTTTGGATCAGGCAGGATTCATATACACGTTCAGGGTCCGCTTCAGGCACCTAAAGGCAAGAGCCATTTCAGACATCTGCACAATCCTTTACTGTGTCTCCAACTGCTGCATCAGAAGGGAAGGAGTCTCCAACACATGTGGTGTCACGTTCTCTCAGAATAAGCAAAAATTTCAAATCCTCTGGCACACGTGAAACGGTGCTAGACACCTGCGTTTAGGTACACAAGTTATTGGCTAAGCGACTTCGCAAATACATACAAAACACTTTTAGCTGAAACTGTTGTTGTCCTTTACATCACACCAACATTACATTAGTTTGGCAGTATTAGTAAGTGTACAAGTTATTCTAAAATACATAACCAATATTTTCATATGAATATTTCAAAATGTATTTTTACCTTGTGTCACTCAGAGTTCCTGCATTTCTCAAATTCATGAACCAAGCAGTCCTGCTCTTCACATCTGAAGAATATTGTAATTGCTGTTTAAAGTAAGCAGAAACAAAATGGAATTAAAGTTAAAATGTAATGAATTACAAACTATGTATTTATAATATAAAATTAAACAGCTTCTTTAAGTCCTTTCCATCCTCAAGTAAAATGTTCATATTCTGTATTGCAGGGCTAATATGGAAGGAATCATGCAGCTTTAGTCTTTGGATAATTAAAGCAATCTACAATTATCCTTGTCTTCATTATGCCAGCTAATGGAATAAAGCACCACACTCTCTCATTTATAGGAAAAGAGAACTATTCTAACTTTTCTATTTCTCTGTCACAAAATTACTGAGCAGCTCCGGACTATTAAATGGCTTAGGCTCAGATTTTCCTAAGTATCCGCTACTCAAATGCTGCACCACCACCAACATGTATCCCTCTGCTGGAAGTCAGGAACGCATTAAGTTGAAATAAACCCAAACCCTGAATCCTCCTTATGTACAAAGAGACAAAACCACTTCAGATTCTAGGTTTCCAAATTATGGAAAAGCTGTATCCCCAGGCCGGACACAGCTGCAGAAGTACTTCTGCTATCCAGCAGGAAAGGAAGATGGCAGGATTTCCATTTTCTTCCTAACTGGCACTGACCATTTGGTTTAATGGTAGAAGAGCATTCATGATTACCTTCTGCGTACTCGTGCACGGCTCTGAAAACTTCAGATGGAGTTGAAAAGCAAGTGACATTTGCAAAGGAGCTATGTCAGCCTCTCTTCAACACGGAAGAGCATAACACAGGCCAATCTCCCTCCACGCGGTGTACCACCGGCAGAAAGCACAGCAGGGCGACACAGCGGAACAGGCCAAAATACACCACGGTGCCTGTATGTTTGACTGCACCCCTTGCCCTACAGCACTTTATACTCGCTTAGACTCAAAAGCTACAAGCCCACGAGCACGTTCAGGCTCCGTCCAGACTGAGAGGCTCTAACTGCACCAGTGTGCACCTGCACTCGGTTTGTGACGGGAGGCTGCCAACAGCGCTGCCCGCGCCCGGCCGGGGCAGCTCGGAGGCACGCAGGGACGGGAAAGCAGAGGGCAGCCGCACAGAGGGAGGGAGGGAGGACGAGCCTCGCTGCCGGCCGGCCTGCGAGCAGGCCCGCGGCGGCGCTGGCCGCCCTGGCTGCCGCGGACCTGCGCGGAGCCGGCGGCCGTCCCGGGAATCCCCGCCCGCCGCCCTTCCCTCTCGGCCCGCCCGCCCCAGACGCCGCTCGACCGCGGCCGCTCCGCCCGCTGCCGCGCAGGCCGCGCCTCGCCCCCCGCGCCCGCCCGCCCCTCGCTCACCGTGCGGCCGCGGCCAGCGGCGGCTGCGCCCGCGCTCGGGGCGCCCCCGGTGCCGCCGCGCCGCCGCGCCGCCGCCGCCGCCGCCCGTCCCGCGGCGCGCACGGCGCCCGCCGCGCCCGCCCGCCACATGGCGCCTGGGCCGCTGGGAGCGCCGGGCGGGCCCGGGCCGGGCCGGCGCGCGCCGGCGCCCCCCCGCGGCGGCGCGCGGCGAGCGGGGCCGCGCGGGGCCGG